TTTTTTTTTATCACGGGTAAGGAGTATGCATTGTTTTAACTAGGTTATGATTCTTTTTAATTGGTTAAAACTTGTGGNATTTGGGTGGCTATTTCTTCAAATTATTATAGAATTTCTTAACCCAACTTAAGTCAAATTTGAGTTGCCATTTATCTCCAATTATAGTAATTTGTTAGCACCGTTGAGAAACTAAGAACCCCATAAATCAACAGCGAGAAAATAGTCTTGTCGATATAGTGAATAAGCTGCTTCAACATGCTTGCAGGACTTCTCCTCTTAACGTAGGAAATGAAAAGAAGGGTATTTAAAAATCGAAAGAAAACACTCCCAACTGTGTGTAATTTAGGAAAAACCTGCTGACAACATTTTTTAATCTTAACTGTAGCTATCTATTGTTATGAGTTCATCTTCCAATGGCAGCAGCCTAGGTCCAAGAAGCAAAAGAGTGGGAATGAAGCCCACGTGGTGGAAAGACTTTGTTCCAAAATAGCTATTTATATTCTGTTATTGGCAGTTTAAATATTTTGTTTTCTAGTGATTGTAATTCTCAAAGTTTGTTAGCAGCAGGGACCACGTGAGTGACGCACGATCCTAGGTTGATGCTATGAGCAGTATTTGTATGAACCAATGGAATGAAAAGGATATGAAAAAAATTATTCTCTCCTTCCTCTTCTATTTTTCCTCTTCTCCCTTCTAATCTGTTCCTTCCTATCTCTTCTGCTCCTCCAACCCTAGCTCTATCTATCATTGGTGCTTTCATCCTTTTACCATGCTTCCCAAAACAGACGCCGTCGTCACGGAGGCCATCCACGCCATCGCCGAATCCTTTAATGCCCAACTCCAAGAGCTTCGCTCTTCCCAGCTTGAATTAAAAACTGCCTTGGAAAACAAACTCGATTCCACCCTTACTGACATCCATCACCAGATTTCCCAACTAAATATAGCAAATTCTCAAAAATCACCATCCACAATCGATACATACAAAGGGGTTCTTTCTGCAAAACCAACACCATCAAGTTTTCCACCGCCCTCTACCTCTGTTTTCCAACCAAAAACCCCCAAATACTTTTTGACCCATTTTGATGGCAGCAACGTTCATGCTTGGATTTTTCAGGCTGAACAATACTTTTCCTATTACTCGATTGCCCCTGATCAGCGTATACCCATTGCTGGCTTTTTCATGACCGGTGAGGCCCTGACCTGGGTCCAATGGATGCACCGCCACAGTTTGCTCTCGGATTGGGATTCCTTTACTCGCGAACTGGAAATTCGCTTTGGTCCTTCCATCTTTATGAATCCCCAAACTGCTCTTTTCAAATTGAAGCAGACCAGCACCGTTGCAAACTATCAGAGAGAGTTTGAACTCCTCACCAACAGAGTGGCTGGTTTTTCCGATGAACATCTGCTCAACCTCTTTGTATCTGGTCTACGGCAGGATATCCAACGTGAGGTTATTATCCAAAACCCATATTCATTAACCATGGCTTTGGCTTTAGCTAAGCTTTATGAAGCCAAGATTGCGGAGACTCGACCACAATATAGGGCCCCTACTACGCCGCCCACTCCGCCCTTGCCTTCTCGGAACTCACAGCTTCCTTCTACGGTTCCAACTTCTAAGGCCTCACCGTTATCAGCCGGAAGATTTCCCATTCGCCGCCTTACAGCTACTGAAATGCAGGCTCGGCGCTCTAAGGGGTTGTGTTTCAATTGTGACGAGCAGTTCAAACCAGGGCATCGTTGCAAAACGACCCCTTTTCTGCTTTTACAGTCTCATGAGGAGTCTTTCGAGCCAGTTCCACCATTGAACGACACTCCTATGGATCTTTATCCTCCCTCAGTCGAACTGTCGGCACTGCCATTGCCACCGCCACCTACTCACTCTCCGGCGACCGACACCAGTGACTTTCAGGTCTCCCTTTACGCTCTATATGGCCACTCCTCCCAATCTTGTATGAAATTACAGTGCCAGATTAGAGGACTTCCATTCACGGTGTTAATTGATTCGGGGAGTACCCATAATCTCATCCAACCAAAAGTGGCTCGTCATTTGGGACTATTAATTGAGCCGGCGCCACCTCTCTCCGTTAGAGTGGGAAACGGTGACGTTTTACATTGTCAAGGGATGGTCTCGGCGCTACAAATAGACCTACAAGGTGTAAATTTTGCCCTAGATCTATATCTTTTGGATGTGCATGGAGCTGAAGTTATTCTTGGAGTGCAATGGTTGGCCCAACTCGGCCCAGTGCTAGTAGACTTTAGCCTACTCCTAATGTCCTTTTGTCATAAAGGAAAATGGGTTACTATTTCGGGTCATCGTCCTCTTCAGGCCGACCCAGTCACCCCCAACAACTCCATCGTTGGGCCCAAACAGATGCCATTTCTTCAGCCAATTGGTTGACTCTTCAAGCTACTACATCAGAAGACCTAGAACAGTCACTGCCGCTTGACTCAGTTCCTCCTGCCTTGGCGGCACTTTTACAACGCTTTTCCAAGGTCTTCGAAACCCCTAAAGGCCTACCTCCAAAACGTCAACATGATCACCACATTCACCTCATTCTGGGATCGAAGTCTGTGAATGTAAAACCCTACCGTTATCCCCACAGTCAGAAGAAGGATATGGAAATTCTTATTATCGAAATGCTGCAAGAGGGTGTGATTCGTCCAAGCACCAGTCCCTTCTCATCACCAGTTTTGTTAGTTCGCAAAAAAGATGGATCATGGCGGTTTTGTGTTGACTACAGGGCCCTCAATGCGATAACCATACGAGATCGTTTTCCAATCTCTACAATTGATGAACTATTGGATAAACTTCATGGAGCCTCTGTGTTTACAAAGATTGACTTGCGAGCGGGCTATCACCAGATACGGATCGCAGAACCAGATATCTCAAAGACAGCATTTCGTACTTCCGATGGGCACTTTGAATTTCAGGTGATACCTTTCGATCTTACTAACGCACCCTCTACTTTTCAATCTGCTATGAACGACCTCTTTAGACCTTTTTTGAGGCGTTTTGTCTTAGTCTTTTTCGATGACATATTGGTATACAACAAGTCTTTGGAAGAGCACTTGACTCACTTGCAACAGGTTCTGAATCTACTATTAGAACAACAATTTTATGCCAAGCTGTCCAAATGTTCTTTTGCTCAGTCTTCAATTGATTACCTGGAGCACATCATATCTGATCAGGGTGTTCAAGTCGACCCATCGAAAATTGAAGCAGTCATGGCTTGGCCTCAGCCATCGAATGTCAAGAGCCTCCGCGGGTTTTTGGGATTAACAGGGTACTATCGCAAGTTTGTGGCTCACTACGCCACCATTGCAGCACCATTGACAGATTTGCTTAAGTCGAAGGCCTTTCATTGGACACAATCGGCCTCTGATGTGTTTGAAAAGTTGAAGCAAGCACTGACTTCTACGCCCTGTCTAGCTCTTCCGGATTTTTCGAAACCATTCGAAGTCACCACTGATGCTTCTAATGTTGCGGTGGGAGCGGTATTGTCCCAAGACAGCCATCCCCTGGCTTATTTCAGTAAGAAATTAAATCCTAAGCTCCAAAACTCTTCAACATATGTAAGGGAGATGTATGCTATAACCGAAGCTTTTAAAAAGTGGAGGCAGTATTTGCTTGGGCGACCTTTCATCATTTATACCGATCAACAGAGCTTGCGAGGATTGATGAACCAAACAATCCAGACTCCTGAGCAGCAAAAATGGTTGGTAAAGTTACTTGGATTTCAATATTCAATTCAATATAAGCCTGGGACACAAAACAAGGTTGTGGATGCCTTGTCTCGCTCTTTTCCTGTGGAAGCTAATTGCTTAGCTATATCGGGTCTTGTCTTCTCTTTTTTGGATGATTTAAGGCAGTATTTCATCAGTGACACACGAGGAAAACTATTCTTTCAACAATGCCAAGACTCCCCATCTGAGTTTACTATAGTCAATGGCTTGATCATGAGAGATGGGCGGATTGTTATACCAGATTCACACCCTCTCCAACAGACCTTGCTCCATGAGTTCCATAGCACTCTCACAGGAGGCCATGCCGGTATTTCTCGCACCTTGGTGAGACTCTCTGCTAGTTTTTGGTGGAACAATATGAGGAAATCAGTCAAGGAGTTTGTATCAACTTGCAAGGTGTGTCAAGAGGTGAAGTATTTAACCTCTAAACCACAAGGGCTGCTAGAGCCCCTTCCTATTCCATCCCAGGCTTGGCAAGATATTGCCATGGACTTTATCACTCACCTTCCTATCTCTCATGGCAAGGTAACTATATGGGTCATTGTAGACAGATTTTCCAAATATGCGCATTTCTTAGCTTTACCAGCGGGTGTTACTGCTCCTCATTTGGCTGCTATATTTGCTCAAGAGATAGTCAAGCTTCATGGGATACCTCGAAGTATTGTTAGTGATCGAGACCCACTCTTTGTGAGCAAGTTTTGGAATGAACTGTTTAAGCTACAAGGAACTCAACTACCAATGAGTAGTGCCTATCATCCTCAAACGGATGGACAGTCGGAGGTCTTAAACCGTTGCCTGGAGACTTACTTGCGAGCCTTTGTGTCTGAGAATCCCAAGCAGTGGACTCGAATTCTTCATTGGGCGGAATGGTCATATAACTCCTCCTTTCATTCAGCAGCATGTATGACCCCTTTTCAAGCCTTGTATGGGTTCCCTCCGCCATCCATTCCATCATATCTTCCTGGTTCTACCACTGTTGCACAACTGGATGACAGCCTTATTGATAGACAACAGCTTTTAAAACAATTAAAGGCTAACCTTGCTCGAGCCAGCAACAGAATGAAGATTCAGGCTGATAGAAAGAGGGTTGAAAAGCAATTCACTGAAGGAGATTTAGTCTTGGTTAAGCTTCAACCATACCGACAGCAATCTGTCGTTTCCAGGACATCTCAGAAGCTTTCCAAGAAATATTTTGGTCCATACAAGATTCTGCAGAAGATTGGGCCAGTTGCCTATAAATTAGAATTGCCAGAGGGATCGCGAGTTCATCCAGTTTTTCACGTTTCGTTGCTGCGGGCATTCAAAGGGGACTTACCAGCAACTCCATCACCCCTTCCAACAGAGTGTGTTAATGGTCAACCTACCTTAGAACCAGAGCTGATTTTGAAGAGCCGCCAAGTGAAACAAGCTAAGAAGGTTTTGACACAAGTGCTGGTTAAGTGGAAGCAGCTACCAGAGTCGGATTCGACGTGGGAATGGGCCGAGGACATCTCTTCCAGCTTTCCTAATTTCAACCTTGAGAACAAGGTTGTCATACAAGAGGGAAGTAATGTTATGAGTTCATCTTCCAATGGTAGCAGCCTAGGTCCAAGAAGCAAAAGAGTGGGAATGAAGCCCAGGTGGTGGAAAGACTTTGTTCCAAAATAGCTATTTATATTCTGTTATTGGCAGTTTAAATATTTTGTTTTCTAGTGATTGTAATTCTCAAAGTTTGTTAGCAGCAGGGACCACGTGAGTGACGCACGATCATAGGTTAATCTATGAGCAGTATTTGTATGAACCAATGGAATGAAAAGGATATGAAAAAAATTATTCTCTCCTTCCTCTTCTGTTTTTCCTCTTCTCCCTTCTAATCTGTTCCTTCCTATCTCTTCTGCTCCTCCAACCCTAGCTCTATCTATCAACTTCCTCAAGAAGTTGGTCGATTATTGCGCTTGCAACATCTGAACTTAACATACAATTCTTTTATTGGGAAAATTCCTGCAAATCTCACCCATTGTATGGAGCTGACAACACTTAACCTTGTTTACAATGGGTTCACTGGGGAAATTCCAAACCAACTTGCATCATTAACAAAGTTGAGAGTTCTGGCTCTATCAACTAACAACCTTACAGGAAGAAATCCCACCTTGGATAGGTAACTTTTCTTCCCTTTTTGGTCTTTCGATTGGACAGACTAATTTACAAGGACCCATACCTGATGAACTTGGCCAGTTATCAATATTGGAGATTTTTCAACTTTCTTCAAATAATTTGTCTGGAATTATTCCTCCATCAATCTATAATCTTTCTTCCATATACCGTTTCTCTGTTGCTGATAACCAGTTGCAGGGTTATCTTCCACCGGATATTGGTCTCACCCTTCCTAATCTAGAAGAGTTGTATGGTAGTCTTAACAACTTTATTGGAGAAATCCCTGTGTCTTTGTCCAATGCTTCTAAACTTCATAATCTTGAATTTGGTGAAAATGGTCTTACTGGGACCATACCTCCAAATCTTGGGAGTCTTAGAAATCTTGTCATTCTAAATTTTCATGATAACACTTGGGACAGGGAAAATTGGTGATCTAAGTTTTATTTTTATTTTTATTTTTTTTAAAGGCAAAAGAGATGTATTTTATTGATAAGAAAAGTCAAAACTTTACAGCAACATCACAACCAAAGGAACCAACAGAATAAACCAACTTATCAGCAACATAGAGAAAATCAAGGGACCTTGCAGCAAGCACCATCTTCAAATGGTACAACCATCAACACGACCCAAAATGCAAACCATTAAACACTAAAAACAGTCTATTTCGATCACTAATCTGCCAGCAAAATAACTTCTCTACCAACCCCTTCCTTTTCACTTATCAGCTCAATCCTTGCAATCCCTTACCATCTTAACAAATTGCCAATTACCAAGTCCACATCACAGAACAAAGAAAACCCCCTCGAACCAGCAAGACACATAAATAGCCAAATAAAAACAAGAAACAAAAACAAAGATACCCAAAATAAGACATCAGTAACATTGACACCGTACTCTATCAAACTAAAAAACTAAACTTGGTTCGAAGTTGATGCACAAAAACAAGTTCCATCTCCTGTTAACTTGTTTTTGCTAAAACTGCTTCACCATTAACAACTCGGTATTTTCCTTCATGTCATCATTCCATCAGAAACATATCTAACTTCCAAGGAGCCTCATCTAAATGTACGTCCATAGCACTACACGAAACTTAAAAACCCAACAGAAACACCTACCTGCACACCAAAGAGTCAAAATCGTCGAAGCTAGGAAAACCTTCTTAAGTAACATTCTCCTCCTCCTCCATCGATTTGAATTTTTCCAGGATCAATCTTTCATCACAATCAAAGGAAATTCCTAAGTTTTATTGATCACTTGACTAACATTTCTACTCTAGAAAAACTACAACTTTCTGGTAATCGTTTTGGAGGACAATTGCCTCTCTCCATAGCCAACCTTTCAGTTCAGTTGAAACGTTTTACCATAGGGAGGAATCTGATCCATGGAAGCATCCCTGTTGGGATTTGAAACCTAGTTAATTTGGACCTTCTATCAATGGAAGATAACCAGTTAACTGGTACCATCTCTGAGGTTGTTGGGAAGCTTCAAAAATTGGGAGTTTTGTATTTGAGTGGTAATAGACTTTCAGGACTGTTGCCATCTTCACTTGGAAATTTAACTGAATTAACTAGGTTCTTGATGGACAACAATAGATTTGAGGGGATTATACCTCCAAGCTTGGGAAACTGTCAAAAGTTGCTTGTGCTAAATGTTTCCAACAATAATCTCAGTGGCCCCATTCCTAGAGAGATTATGACTATTTCTTCCCTGTCAATTGCTTTGTCCATGTCTAATAACTCTTTGAGTGGCTCAATTCCAGCCGAAGTTGGCAAGTTGAACAATCTTGTGAAGTTAGACTTAGCAGATAATAGACTTTCAGGTGAAATTCCAAGCAGCCTTGGTGGCTGTGTTAGTTTACACCGCCTGTATTTGGAAGGTAATGCATTTGAAGGAACGATTCCTTTAGCCTTGGAGTCTTTAAGAGGTATAGAAGAAATAGATCTTTCACGCCACAATCTGTCCGGACAAATTCCAAATTTTCTCAGCAAGCTTTCATTTCTCAAGCATCTCAATCTTTCTCATAATGATTTTGAAGGAGAAGTGTCAGAAGCAGGCATATTTGGAAATGCAAGCGCCTTTTCTGTCATTGGAAACAATAAGCTTTGTGGCGGTGTCCAAAATCTATATTTACCTTCGTGCACAAGAAAAGGTCAAGGAAGTCATATTGGTCTGAAGGTAGTATTACTTGTCACAAGTGCAGTTATTGTTGTCATTCTTTTATGTTCCTATGCTTCATGTTATCTATTGAGGAACTCAAGGAGTCGGTCCGGTGCACTCTCTAAGGTTCGGCAATCACATCTGTCATACTCAGATGTTGTGAAATCTACTAATGGTTTCTCCAAAGAAAATTTGATTGGTTCGGGCAGTTTTGGTTTTGTATATAAAGGAATAATTCCCAATGATGGAACAATTGTTGCAATTAAGGTATTAAATCTTCAAACAGCAAGGAGATTCTAGGAGTTTCATGGATGAGTGCAATGCTTTGAGAAGTGTGCAACATCGCAACCTCCTCAAGATCATCACTGCTTGCTCTTCTATTAATCATCAAGGAAATGACTTCAAGTGTCTTGTATTTGAGTACATTCCTAATGGAAATCTGGATCAGCGGCTGCACCCTGGAGCTGATGATCAGTATCAGAACAAGAAGCTAAGTTTAATGCTGAGATTGAACATAGCCATTGATGTTGCTTCTGCTTTGAGCCATCTCCATCACCAATGTGAAACCCCAATTGTTCATTGAGATCTAAAGCCTAGCAACGTACTCATTGATGAAGATCTGACTGCACATGTTAGTGACTTTGGATTGTCCAGGTTCTTATCAATTAATCCCTGCAATGATATTCATAGCCTATCGGTTCAGCCAAAGGGTTCCATTGGGTATCCTGGTATGAATTTAATTAATCACCTTTCATTCTTCTTCCCATATTCAATAATTTAATATTTCCAAAAAGCTCAGTAACTACATTTATTATATTACATGCATGTTGTATTGATTACCGTACATTAAATTGCATTCTGATGACTAATGGAAATTACTCTGTTATAAAATGCAGAGTATGGCATAGGAGGTCAAACGTCTATACCTGGAGATATCTACAGCTATGGAATACTATTACTGGAGATGTTTACCGGTAAAAGTCCAACTAATGACATGTTCAACGAAGACTTGAGCCTTCACAATTTTGTCGAAGTAGCCTTGCCTCAATATGCCATGGATGTGGTTGACCTATCAATGTTTTCCAAAGAAGATAACAGCAAAGAAGAGATCACTGCTGAAACCTTGGTGGAAGAATTTGTAGTTCCTGTGATGAAAATTGGACTCTCTTGTTCTGCAACATTACCAGCTGAGCGGATGATTATGATTGCTGTTGTCAACAAATTGAATGATATCAAGGATAGATTCATGAAGCTAATAAGTAACAGCAAAAGAAGGATAAGAAAGCATTATTGACACTACTATCCAAGGCTCATATTGTCTGTCTTTACCTATGTAATAAGGCTCGTATATTGTACGTCTTTACCTATGTAATAAGGCTCATATTGTCTGTCTTTGTAATAAGCTTGTGTTTGCTTTTATTTCCTTCTGGATATAAGAGATGGAAATAGTTGTTTGTTAAAATTTGAACTTCTTACATGTAGCTTAAAGATGTTAATTAATATAATGGATTAACAGTTTTAGTTTAAACCTAAAGTGAACCATTTGTTTAATAAAAAGGAAACTAGAGAATAAAAACTATTAGGAAGAGCCTCTTTCTTTACTTTGCCTTGAGAAAAGTGTGATAATTGGATTCCTTGATGATTGATACCTCTCACCTACTAGTTTCCTTTGAACTCATTTGAAGCTTGATCAAGGAATCCCCCACTTCTTCTAATCATGACTACCCACAAGCCTCAAAAGAGGGGAAAAAAAAGAATAAAAAAGATTGGAATCCTTCCTAAAGACAATTTTTTATTACATCAGGCCCTTTAGGATCATGATTGTTATAATTGCTGTCATTATGACCATTATGATTTAATGAAACCTTTGCTCTATCTTTACACTCACTATATAAGAAATTGAGATGCAAATTCTCTACAACACTTAGGCCTTTCAGCTTTAGCAAACAACCAACCATTTTGTAATTTTGTTAAGGGATGCTGATGAAGAGATCAGGTTCCATAGGCATATCAATGTTACCAAATTCATCAGTGCTGGTGGGGTGGTGCCGGGGGCGGAGGCGGCTGCAGCGGAGGTGGAGGAGGAGGGGAAGCACTATACGGCTGGGGAATAAGACGAAGCGACGAGGTTTCTGCCTAGGGTCACGGCCGGTGGTACAATGGAGTGTGATGGTAGGTCCACTAAGAATGCTAAAGAAGATCATCATGGAAATCACACCTAAGGAGAAGTTATTAGAGGCTTATTATATGTACTTGCCTTTCTTACGCCCTCAATTATTTCCCTTATGTTGATATATATAAATATATCATCATCAATTTCTTAGATATACTTACTTTCTAATTTGGTTTTCATTTTTCTTTTTCATTTCTACTGTCAATGATGTACTTAAAAAAAGTACATGACTTTGTTTTTAGAATGATCTGGTCTGGTAAAAACTGAAGCAAATGTTGCCATTTGTTGACCAGATTAGGATGTGTCCTGCAACTCTTTATGATGTTGAAGATTTGAACATCCTTCAAATAATGCTTAATTTACACAGAAACTGATATACAGAAAAAGTCTTCCTACTTTCATTCTTCAAATAATTTTCATTCTGTTTCTGTTTTCTAAAAATTCTAATGTGCTTTTTAGTTTTTACTATAATCAAATTAAGTATATTAGCTTTGTAGCGTAGTCAAGTGAATTGAGCAATTCATCAGGCTATAATGATTGGTCCCAGACTTGACTTAGAAGTTACTTTTCCACTGTCAAGTCCACTTGGGACTTCTTCTATTTTCATTTTTTATTTGGGTTGAAAGATAAATGGGGCAACTTTGATTCCATGATAGTAGCATTTAGTTTGACATTAGAGAGCTGCAACAATCCCAGAATCCCACAGTCTCATCATCTAAAAGTTAGTGCTTCCTTGCAGTCTGCAAATACAAACTGAGGCAGACAATTTAATTAAAGAGGTCTACAACTACAAGTTTTGTATACTTTCCTATCACTCTCATTTCAATGGCTAATTTTTCTAAGCTCTAGACTCATAAGATTTTTTTCCCCTTACAAAATAAGAAAAGGTTTTGGCCAATTATTACCTCTCAAATTGATAATAATTAGTCACTTAGTTGTGATGAATATCGATGTTTGGGATAAAAACTTAGTTTGATAAGAAAAGAAGAAATCCAATTCTTTCCTTTTTAATTTGGAGATGACATATTCAAACTATTATTCATTCATTGAGTAAGAGAAACATGCACCAACTACTTGAATCAAATGTTCGATTATAAGAAACAGAAAATATACATAGTGGTTTACAGGTATCTTTATTTCATTTTCCCTATGTGGTTGATCATGGAACCCATCTTTATTATATGTAAAATCAAAATTTCAATCCATTATTATTAAGTTATAATTTACCTAACCTTTTCATACTAAGGCTTAATTTGATATTGAGGTTGTAGTTTGAAAAGGCTTAGTTTGGAAAAAGTGCTTTTGAGAAGTACTTTTTTAAATTGCGGTAGAAAAAATGTAATTAATGTTTGGTATTGCTATGAAAAAATGGGGTTGAAGGATAAAATATCTAAAAAGGATATATTAGTTAAAAAGGACAGAAAAAAATAATTAAGAAATTTTAGCCATTTAATGTCCAAAAGCACTTTTGAAACGCAAAAACACCTAAGGATTAGCTTCTCGGGTTGGCTTGGTTTTTGCGTTCAAAATTAGCTTTTGACACAAACCAGGATTTATTTGGTATTGCGTTTGGGTTCAAAAACAACTTTTTTTTATCTCCAAACACAATATCAAACCAGCCCTAAGGAAAAAAAAAAAAAACCCCTCTGTTGGCAACTAGGCTAGTGGGCTTTATATCTTCTCAATTTAATGTTGGGCCTGAGAGTTTAAGAGTCATATAAATTTGTACTTAAAAGAATATTGAGGGTGCCCAAAGAAAAAACAAAGCCCAAAACAAATTTTTTTTCTTAAATAGTTTCCTTTCCTAGCCCGTATAAATATTTGCTTGCAAAAATTAGAGAGAAAAAAGGGGAAAATAAATATACACCGCATAAAATACGAAAAAGGAAAAAATGTTAAATATACGCCGTTAATACTAAGATGGTTAACGGAAAATCAAAGCTTTCTAACTCGAGAGTCGACTCGGAATAAAAAGGATAAACATATATCTCTCTCTCCGGCAGTTAATCCACTTTCCTCCTCCCTCCTCAAACCCTTCTCCTTTCTCTTCCTGATTGTTTCTCGAGAAAAAAAGAAACCCAAACATGTCGCTACTCAGCCAAACCCTGCTTCTCCGAGCTTCAATCTACCGCCCTCCACAAAACCCTAAATCCCCAATCTTAACATCCAAACCCCGCTTCTCTTCCCTCTCTCTCCCCATTAAACCCACCAACTTCAACCAGAAACACCCCAAATTTGCCCCTTTGGCTTCCCTTTCTCCTTCCCCAACGGTGCCCTGCCGACTTACCCAAACCCCATCTGAGTCTCCACTCGGCGATTCCACTCGAACCATCAAAACCCTTTTCTCCATCGCACTCTCCGCCACCATTATCTTCACCAAGATGGTCCAAAGCTTCGCTATCAAGACAATTTCCCAAGCCCCTAACGCACTTTCCGCGGCGGGACCTCTCTTCTTCGCTTCCTTAAAGGACCGCCCTAGTGGATACCTCAACACTCCATTGACGGTGGTGGCTGCGGGCCTGGCTAAGTGGCTTGATATTTACAGTGGGGTTTTGATGGTTAGGGTATTGCTCAGTTGGTTCCCTAACATTCCTTGGGATAGACAGCCGCTTTCCGCCATTAGGGATCTCTGTGATCCTTATTTGAATCTGTTTAGGAATATAATTCCGCCCATTTTTGATACCTTGGATGTTAGTCCGCTTCTGGCTTTCGCTGTGTTGGGCGTTCTCGGGTCGATTCTCAGTAGCAGCAGAGCAATGTAGGAGAGTGAGTAAGAAAGGATTATTTAAGTTAGCATTTTAGTGTTAGCTTAAGTATTTGGTTTATTAAAAATTCTTAATTCTTGGTTATGTTCTGATATATTTTTGTGTAATCGATAAACATGGTTCACATATATAAATTTTGGCAGGTTATTTTGAGATATTCTGTGCAGCTATTATTGGAATTCTCTGTTTTTGTTTTGCTTTTAATTAAATTAAAATTATATATGGAGTGGACTGGAGGAATGCAATAAACTGTTCTTTTTTAAGTTGAACTCTAGGACGGCTGGAAACGAGAAAGTTATATCTGATTTTTGTAATCAGAATTTAGAAAGGATTTGAAGTTATTTGAAAAAGCAAGCAAGCCCCTGATGGCATGGAACCATTGTGTAATGGTTTTGGCCAATGGTTTCACAAATTTACATCTAAATTGTGATGAACTCTGCTGTGAATGTCATCAACCTTGTTCATATATTATTACTATAATAATACTACATTAGGATTGAAGTTAATGAAGTTAGTGATTCTTTACTGGCTAAACACTGCCATTCCTAGGAGATGGTACAAGATACATTGTAGTCCACTGCTATGGTAGTTTTTCAAGTTATATACTAGTATAATATCACATAACTTGGGAATTGAAATAGAGGCCTTCTGTTTTGGTTGAATACTGGTACTTCTCATTCTTGAGAAATCTTAATGTTCAGCTAAAGGAACAATGGGTGGAGGCTGAGCCTTTCAGTCAGCAGGGTTAAGCATTATGTTTTATTGAACGATTCCTTGACGTTTAAGCATAAAGGTTTTGCGATTATTGAACAATAACTTGCAGTGATGAAAGTTTTAATGCAGACTTCCCAAATGTTTTATGCACAAATATCATCCCACTTCACTTGTCATCCTATGCACAAACACACCCCGAATATATTATCACTGGCCTTTGGTAGTTATCTTGTTGATACCACCAACATGAAAATCCCGATACCAGTCCTGCGGGTGACTTTCTTATTCTACTTTTGGGATTATGGTTTAATGGCTGTGGCTAAGTTGTTATTAGCGTTTTTAAGTTTTGGGGGCATATTACCTGAAATTGTAATCCCCAAAACCGAAGGTAGCCAAATACGAGAATGTCCTCAGCAAACTGTTCAATGTAAAGGATAATTCTCACATGGAAAAAAAAAAAAAATCTATAATTGCAAGTTCCTAAGATTCTGTTAATCTGTTTCTTTTGAAGAGAACTATTCATAAGCATACAAATTTGGATCCTACATCGGCACTACTGGGTCTTTCCACCAAACAAAGAGTTAAGATTTGGCCACCTGATGAGCTCAACTGCAATAACAAAATACAGACTAGTTGCAACAA